CTTGGTGCAGAAGTGTCTGAAAGGCTGCCTGGACAACAATTCATCGACCAAGCAAGCAAGGAGATCTAGGAACAAGCAGCTTCGACGTTGATGGCAATAAGAAACTGTTACCGTTTTTCAACTTTTGGGGAAAAAAACTAGAGTACCACATCATCCCAGCCAATTTTACATGAATTTAAGAAAGCTGGGTGCCCGTTTCACCAAAGCATTTTACAAGAGGGACCTAATTCCAAGGAGCTTAAGGTAGAGTTTCATACCAAACCTGAATGATAGTTTTAAACATAATTAGAAAACCCATAAAATCCACAGCCCACTGCCTTCTTCTGCGTTGCTCCATGTCGAACCCTTTTGAATCCCCTGTTTTTGTTCCGTTCGTCATCGTTGCGGTTCAATTTTGAATTGGGACTCCTTGTTCCATTGGAGTTCTCCGGAACTCAACTAAGTTCCTTCCATGTTGCATTGCACAACATGCTCTTTGCATTGCATCCTTTTGCTGGGTGCCCACGATGATTTACAGCACCAAGGTATTTGTATGTATTTGCTGCAACATGTCCAAGTCCTAGCTCACTTAGCTTACCCCTCATGAGCTGCTTTTTTCAACTAAGCAGTGGGGGTGGGCCGTAACAAAAAGCAGCTACTATAGTAGTTTAAAGAAGTTACCGGTAGGATTGAATTTGTTCCTAGACTTTTTCCCCAAATTGTCCGCTCTCCTCTTCTCCGCCTCTCCTCCTCCCACCCCCCCACCACCAACCAACAACCAGCCAACAACCAACCAACAACCAACCACTACCAACCAACCAACAACCAACAACCAACCACCAACCACCAACTACCAACCACCAACCAACCAACCACCAACCACCACCAACCAACCACCACCAACCACCAACCACCAATTGTCCGCTCCTGTGTCTGGTGAAGTTGTTAACATGTGGGGTTATCCGGTCCTATAATCCTAGACTTTTTGGAAACTGGGCTACGTTTCTCTTCTGTCATGTGGCATGAACACCTCTATTTGGATGGAAACGCACCCTGCTCACAATCCTGAAAAGCACGAGAGTGCAAACAAAGATACCTGCAGTTGCAGGGTGGCGGAGCGCTTCTGAAGGAATACTCCTCGCGCTCGCAGCGTCCGAAAGGCTGCCTGTCAAGCGAAAAACAGAGATCTTTGATACACACAAATCGAACAATATCATACTGTAGCTAATTCTATAATATTATATATATAAGGCCTCAAGCAGGGTCTTGTAGCACCAAGAGTTTCCGAGACTAAGACCCATAAGTATTTCATATAGTGGTTATAGGTTGGAGGCCTTTGCTTCTAGGTTGAAGGCCGTATGTTGGAGGCCATTGATAGTAGGTTGCCCTAGTACCGTCCTTGCTCCTAGTAGCGATGCCAGGAGCCCCTAGTAGCTTCTTGTTACTAGTTCAATCTCTTCTTTTCAAGTTCGCTTAGTTCGCTTCGCCTGGAAATCCATCGCAGCACCGCGCATCTGCACAAAATATCTGCGACCTACAAAGCCCCGCCAGCAACGCTGGATCGTTTGCACTTGCCTGCACTGGGTACATGCCAGATGCCCCAAAGTTTGATGCCACAATTGAGACAATAAATGTTTACATGCAGGCCAAATCTGTCTCACACATACACAAACTCGGAAAGCATGGGGCAGCACAAATGACGACTGCTGAAAATCACTCAAAGTACTTGGTCAGCTTGATGAGCATGCAAACGGTCTTAGACACAAGCGAGCTGTCACCCTGCCGCAGCGCTGGTGATCAGCGACCAACAAGAATTGAACATGCTGCCTCTTTGCAGACTCCACAATCATCTGTTCCATCCTTCTTTCCAGTTCCTCCTGATGGACCATGGTACCAAATCCCAACTCAGCCAAGAACCGACAAATAACACCTCACTGACTGTCACAACCTCGCAAAGAAACAGAAACGCATACAGCACACTGCGGAAAGTGCACATAGTGCAAGTGCTTATTGAAGCTTATTGAAATGGGCAACATCTAAGTCTAGGTTTATGACCCGTGGACAAAGTCCACAGTAATTATATATAATGCATGCAATCATGAAATTTAAGCTTCTCAAAGACATCAGAACCGACAAAAATGCTTGTCCTTCAGAAAGACCCGGGACTGGCCAAGCTGCCTCAGAAGATTGGCGCGCTGGGGGAGTCTGCAACGGTCCACCGAGTGTTTGTCCTGGACAGGTGAGGCTTTGTCAGGAAATAGAATCAGCGTCTACAGTTCTGTGGATGATATTCTGATAATTTGGTGATTTCCAGAAATGTACAAGCAATGTTTCGTTTTAGTACAGAACCATTTCTGCTAGGAGTACTATCATTGGTTGAGTGGGGATACACGAGTGCGGAGCTTTGGGTGGATCAAGCCGTGACCCATTTGATCACCTGTCAGTGCTCGGGATGGTCGAGCATTCCTCTACTGCGCAGCTCCGTTAATTCAAATCTCAAACAACAGTGTCCTGCGTATATATATATATATTTATTGCAGCTGCGTCTGCTTGATTTCTCTTGGAAGGCAGGATGCTGTCAAATTTGTTTAGCCTTTGTTGCCTGTTTGCGTTGCTAACTGACAATGATCGAGATGACTTGACTGGAGCTTCTCCTTGCAATTGTGCAGTCACATTTTTCTGCTGGCTCCTTTTTGCAGGAGTGCTTGCAAGACTGCACGATAACATGGCCCAAGGTGCCAAAGTTTTTGTTGTTTTGCTGCCTCACCAAGTCGTTCTTCGACTTCGAGCACCAAGCGTTGGCAAAGACTCCTGTCAACAACATATTATGTTGGTGTCATGATGCATGACCAATCATCCTATCAAGCTGGTGGACCGCGGTCTCCTAAATCAATGCATGATGCATGTATGTGTCATATTCTGCCATAATTATGTCGCTGTTGTGCAGTTTGTGGACCCATGTAAGACGTATCCCAGAACAGGTTCTATTGAAACAAAACACAATTAGCTTGTCGTAGTTTATTAAGGGGGACACCAGACACCATGTCCCCTGGATGATTCCATGTATGTCGTATACCTGTCTCATGTCTCCAACCGTTGAACCGTCTCCGACTGTCTCCTGTAGTCTGGGTCAGCTCCTGGCACCAAATGCGGTGATAGGATCCGGAAGCGAGCGAAGAACTCCTTGAAGGGTCTTCGCACTGCGTATCCGGCACGCCGTATTCCTAAGTATTGTCGTCTGGAAATTGACTCTGCTTACATAAACTAAAGTCTACAAGGTTCGCTAGTACCATATGATGCATGGTATCAGGCTCTGAGAGCACTTGGCAATGGACACGTTTTTAAGCTGAGGTGTCTATTGAACATCTTTTCAGGTCGCCCCAGCATCCACAAAAGCCATGAGCCATGGCAAACAAGGGGAGACGAAGGGAGACGCAAAATTCATCTCAGCCCAGCACCAGAGGAGCTATGGGAGACAAAGGTAGACCGTAGACCAAGGGAGACAAAGCAGAATCATCTCAGCCCAGCATCTAAAAAGCCAAGCAATCAAGAAGAGAAATGGAGACAAAGGAAACAAAAGGCCAATCACCTTGGCCCAGGTGTTTTTCTTATCAAGAATTGAACACCCCTCACAGCAAAGCTGTTTGGGGAATAGCTTTCTAACAAAGCAGCAATGGCAGCTATCTGCTGTGTTACAGTCTCACCAGTAATAATACATCCAGTTCCACCGAGAGACGAATGGACTCAAGCATGCCAGCGCAGCGCAATTGCCGCAAAACATCAATGGAATCCAGCTGATTTGGCTGCTTGTTGGCATTGGGCTTGATGCAGCGCACATAGCCTTTGCAAAGCTGCAAGAAACGTGTTAGTCATGGTGATGTCATGTATCCCAGCAATTGCCTAACATTGATAGAGCTTCAATAAATATAGAACAACAAGCATAACTCCATGCTAACTCCCTCATGTAAGTTGCTTTTGAAGTGGGTTTCTACCAATCGACATTGACATCGATCAAGCTTCTTGTCTCACATTATTAATCTAATCTAATTAATTTGTGCACCAGTCCTTGGAACATTCAAGAAAAAGGAAGAACTAAAGAGAATTATGCTCATTCAAAAACTGAAGGAGCCCGCCCAAAACATGACTCAGGATAACCCCCCAATTCCCCTTGGAGAGTTTTGACAATCTGTTGAACCTTTCACTCAGAGCTTCCCACAAACCGCTGCAGACCGTGCCCGGAGCCAAAGCCTTTTTGGGGGCAAGAAACAAGAACAGTACTGTTCCTGAATTCAGGAACATATCTAAAGGGTGAGCCAAAACAATATACTTGTGCGATGGCAAAAGAAACTTTTGGCAGCCCCTGCGGAACTAGCAAATAAGAAAGGCTGCCTCCAAATCATGCACAGTTTTAGCAGTTTGCAATGACCCAATCCAAGCGAGGAACGTGGATTGGTCTTGTTGAGGTCTTCAACCAAACGCTCCAGCTGCTCCCTGAACATCATGCCTTGGCAATCATCTTGGTTTTGCTCCAAAAGCATCACTTATATACTATTCACTGAATCTGCTGTGAGCAGGCGGGCAGCTTCGAGCGCAACGCTTCTGATACTTCAGCTGTGTTCCTTTATCACATTGCACTGCAATGCTAAAGGGTGTCTGTTCAACTACTGAGATAGTAGTGGCTGGGACACGACCAGTTCCCTTGCTCGTCCAAATAATACTGACAACAATAGTTACAACTTATAACAACCAAACCAAAACAAACCACAGAGTGCAGGCCATGCACATGCGACCATTTGAACATACTAACATACTCAATCATATCGAGGGATTCTTGATGTAGCCGAGGACTGTGCCGCTTCCTCAATTTCCAAAGTCATATCTTTTATTGAGGATGGAAGGTGTCTACAAAAGCCAGCTTTGCATAGAGCTCCTAGTCTTTCCCGTTCCACATCCAAGTCATTCAAACGTCTTCTCTATTCTTCTCTTGATTATCTTAATCATCTTGAACGTTCCGAGGCATCTTATCTTCCAAATTGATGCCGGAACCGAACTTCGTATCCCTTCATTCCATTTCGTGCTGAGACAAAAACTTTCTCATCCAAACGACTCACCGTGATGTTCTGCCGCTGGCGCTCCTCGGGTCGGCTCTGCCGCCTGTTGGTGGCCACCTTGGTCCGGGGTGCCGCTTCAGGAGGTGCAAAGCGCGGGTCAGTGAAGAGTCGGCGCATCAACTCCACCTGCCAGGGAAAAGCTTGGAATCGAAATGTCCGAATGTGGTGGTCAAATGTGGGCGCAACCCCCCCTTTGCATTCTTTTGTCAATTCTTGTTGCTACAGTGCGATGTCGATAATTGTTGAATATTGCTCACATGATGATCGCCCTTGTTCAGTCAACTTCCTCTTTTGCAAGGTTGTTGAGACAAACGCACCATCCAGACTGTTGAACATGACGTGAGTTCCACATGGTGGTTCCACTTCGTGCCCAGATAGTCACGTTTGTCGGCGAGTTCCTCAAATGCTCCCGCCGCGACAAGCTTTAGCTGCTTGGAACCCCCCCGCGACGAAGTTAAAACCACAACATGTTTACGCAGTCAATCCTTGATCCTTCTCGTGAAGGCCTTGGGGATGACTCGTATCAACTCAATCTTTGCAATTGCAGTAACTTGCTCGATCACAAAGTAAGACACATCTACCATCATCTACCTCACACCTCGCCTTGCCTTGCCCCCTCTCGCTGTAAAGGCAGCAAAACAGTCCCAGCAGTTAGACGATGACCACTTGATGAGGGTCACACCATTGGGAACCATGTCATTTACCAACAATGAAATGTATTAGGTCGGTTTTTAGGTGCCAGCAACTGCCACAGAAAACTGAAAGAACTACACACATCACATCTGATCGCTACTTTACAAGCGAGAAACAACACATTTACAAAACAATGCGGCAATGCGTGTCCATGGGCCTGCGAGTGTTTGAACAGCGCAACCACATCCTGCAGCTGGTTCAACAGTCTCAATCGAGTCAACTGCAACGTCCAACAATAACTATGACATACATCAAACTATAAATGATGCATCTTGTTTCTGACTTATGGAAGTAAGTAGCATGACGACCACAAACAGTGGACAAATAGAAACATAGTAGGTCATTGATGAAATTGGACATGACATCGGAAACACTCGCAATTGTTGACGACTGCCAGAAAGAACAACTTACAGCAAACAATCTCACAAGTGTCGTCCCTGCAGTTCGAAGCGGTTAAATATCAGAAAACGACGTTATGCGGGTATGGTTTTTACGCGTTTTTGTGATTTGTGGTTTTCTGCGTTTTTTTTTAAATGTTAGTTGTTTTGAAGAACGTGTCTAGCAAAAATGTCGACTTGTAATCTATCAAATTTCTCATCAATCTGATTCAAACATACTAGTTCTCATTGATTCCCACACAGAAGTCCATCAACCATCATCTATCAGCAAGTCCACGACATCCCATCATACAACATCAGGTCATCACCTCTATGAGGGAGATCTGGTCTCCAAGACCTCCAATCTCAATCAGTCCTCAATCTCCAGCAACTGGGGCCTGGGCCTGGGCTTCTCTAGGGGGGGGGGCGCCAAAAAAAAAAAATGGGTTGTCCAATTCCAGGAGCAATTTATTTTTTTTTGGGCGCCCCCCACCTAGAGAAGCCCAGGCCCAGGCCCCACTTGCTGGAGATTGAGGACTCATTGTCAATTCCACGAGCTGGGAGTGGGCCAGGTGCTAGAGATAGTCAAGATTATTGATTTCATTATAGCGTGGTGGGCACATTGTGTTTCAAGATAATGATCTTCTCTCCATTTCATAAAGAATGTGGAGGGAGAAGGCCATTTCATAAAGAATGTGGAGGGAGAAGCCCAAAAAGTGCTACCTTTGAAACAATGAGAATGCTTATGGGCAAGGAAGGGTAGAGTTGGATCCAGAGGTTTTTTAAACAAGAAAAGTTGGTTTTGTTTAGGAAACAGGAGCACAAGAACATATCTAGACTATAACCATGGAAACTCTGACTAAACATGACAAAATCTAAGAAAAACACCACAAAAGCACGTAAAAACCACACCCGCATAACGCCGAGCTCTCTTAAATATATACAATATGGTTTCAAGCACTAAAAAACTTTCAACCCTGCTTCTAAAATTCTAAAGGTGATTTTGGACCATAAACATACTTGCTTGCTCACCTACAATGTCAACATACTGCCCATGTGTCCAAAAAAACAAGTCCTAGCATCTGTATATATATATATGCTGCAAGGCACTCTTGCCGTCATGCAAGATCTAGGCAGGCGTTGCGTACTCAGATGAGACAATAATAACTCTACGAACAAAAAACACATTACATTACTATGTATATATATATATACTTGGGCACTCGTGCTGCTTCACGACAAAAGCTCTGCAGAGCTCCTTGGAAAGCTTGTCGGTGTTCTTCATGAGGAACGTTTCGGCACTATAAACAACTTCACCAGCATAGTGTGCCACTGCAAAATCGGTGTTGCCAAATCTGGAAGCTTTGTAAATCACCTGACACCAAAGGAGGAAGCAGCACTGCTCATACCGCCATGCAATCGCCATGCGAAAGCAAACTCTTGTCGCGCCCTACAAGAAACGCATGGATAATTACCGTCAAAGTCAGAGACTTGCATGGTGGGAGGAACTCTACAGCTGGCTTGGGTCTTCCCACATCCCTGAACAATCTGCCACTTGCTGCTAACATGAGATTAAGTTGTTCCACATGCTAATAGCCTTCGAACTTCTGAAGTTGTTCTGGATCTTCGAGAAAAGCGAAGCATCCGTTGCGGATGGCATGAGGCACTCCGAGTCCACCAAGCAAAAGAGACCTGACCAAAGCTGTCAGGTAAAAAGAGTTGCCATGTTTCTTTTGGATTTCCTTGGGCCTGTTGTGGATCCCCCCAATGATTTGACTTGGTCTGGAACCAGAAGGCACGGTTGTACCAAGTGTCGAGCTCAGGGAAATTCAGGGAACCACCGCGCAGCTTTTTCTGAAACCCAGTTGGCACAAACCCTGTGCCAAAGCCCGGGCAGGCGGTTAGCAAGTGTGTTGCGTAGGCAATAAAGTTGCTTCAATACATCTGAGCCCATCATTTCACTGTGGAGCAACATGGAGCAGCCAACCAAACTGGGTTCAAACCGATCCGATCAAGGAATGGAAGGTGTGCAACGTAGTGTGCGAGCATGTGGACATGTGCGGTCATGTGTGTACTGAGACTTGTGCACACAGAAGTAACTCAGGAGCGCTGAACTCAAATGTGACGCGTGATCAACACTCGTTTTTTGAGCATGTTGCACTTTGTTCTCTCGGCATGTGTGCTCCCAACAAGTTGCTCTAGCGATCGAAGTGAGGGTTGTTGCTTTTCTGGCCTCCATCGTCAGTTATGTTTCTGTCCATTCTAGCTGACATCAATCAATAAAATCCACTCACAGGACCTGAGTAGTTGCTGATTGGGTGAGTGACAAGCTTGCGAGTAGGTACTTACTGTAGTAGGCAAGGAAGCTACTACCGATTGGACAAAGGCTAGGGCTCAGGCTTCTCCAAGGTAACTCCCCCCGCCTGAGTGGGGAGCTGACTTGAAGAAGTCTTAGCCCTTAATGATTTGGCTCCTAGATGATTTTTGAAAACTTAACATCCAAACTTTAACATACTTTAACATGTTTCTTGAACATGTGAAGTTAAACAATCATGGACATTCATGGAAATACCAAACGGCCCTCGCATTGGCGACTGGGACAACCACATCTGCATCAGATGGGTTGCTACATCCCTCCATGCTGTTGCCAACTTGTAACTGTTTCTGTTCTTTTAGCCACTCGAACTACAGTCAAACTGACTGTACTGGCTGGGCGGGGGTACTCTGCTGGGCTCTGCTCTGCACGCGAACCAAGCACAAGAGGAATGGCATTTGCAAGTGGATGATCAGTCCAGCCGTTTGTTGTTCTACTAGGTACAGCGAGCGGCAATGAGCAACTTTGCCCCGCCCGTATCAGCTTCATGTTCTCTAAACGTCTGGCATGGCCTGACATTTGCTTGCAGCACAACAAAATTATCTACTGCCCATTCCGGTGCAAGCTGGCCCAACTGCTGATCAGGGAAGGATCATGAAGGCGAACATGAACATAAACATTAGCAAAAGGCACACACAAGTAGCAAACATGAAAACACAACTCAACTGGCTACTGCTCCTCTGCGGTACTGTTGCCTCAGAACAAAGCAAGTCAACAAAGCCCACCCAGCTCAGTGCCTAGTGGTCTCTTATCCAGCGAGTCAATAATGTGCTGATTGTCCTGGCTAGTTTCTGAAGGTACCTTCCCTTTTCTTGGGTTCAATTGTGGCCGAGCGGAGGACAACAAACAGGCAGCCAAGTTTCAGGAGGCATTTCCTTGTACTGAACTAAATAGTTTAAAAACACCATACCATACCCTTCATGTAAACAGTGCTAAGAAAGCAACAGTCTTCAAAAATTGTCGCCTGCCAAAGGCAAACTTTCTACTCAGTAGCCGATCCCTCGTTGTGACATGTTTTCTCAGTCTCAGCAAAGCTGCAATAAGTTGCTGGCTTGGGACTCCAACTAGCAAGCTATCCGTGGGCTTCTGTCAGCATGAAATGTCGAAGCATATCTGTTCGAGAATGGTGATATTACGTAGCTCACAGTGGATTCAAGCAGCATGCTTTGGCATCAATCAACAAACCCCTTACCATCCTAACTATTGATTCACCTGTGGATCAAAACGTGCAACCCTCCTTAAAGGGGGGGGCTTCCCTGTGTTAACATACACTTGTCATCCGCAATAAACATATGCTCCTGGCATCTCGCGGCTAGTGTATTCAGAAGCTCACTCTGGCTCAAAGTCTGCAATCAGCAGTTACTATCTTCCACACGGAACATGATCAAACTCTCAGCAAAGCCATGTGCCAACTGTGCCCAGTCTTGTCCTGCCAAGTGATGTGACTCCAGTTGATGCCTTCAGAGGTGTAAAGCCTCTGTTCCAAACTAAACCTGAGACATTTCCAGGCAACGTTCGTGAAGGCATGACTTTGCTATGTGTTGCCAACCTCGTGTTAACCGCTGTTGAAGACAGTTAATGACACCTAGTCCTAAGTCGTCCTACGAAGGCTGTGTTTCAATGCACTTTGTTACTAGAAGCGTGGCACTTGTTACTACTAGTAAGGCACTTGTTACTACTAGTAAGGCACTTTGTTACTACTAGCGAGGCACTTGTTACTACTAGCTTCCTACCTTCATTTGCATTGAACCATCTCCCTTTCATCTGGTCACAGCAGCACCTTTGACCGAACGTTCAATGGACGCAAACCGAGATGCATATGCATATTGAAGTGCTGCTGCAGCTTCTCATTTGCAAAGTTGATGCAGAGTTGTTCAAAGGAATTCCTTGAGTTGAAAGAGAGAAGAAGGATGCATTTCTCGTGTTGCCACTCAAGTGCCCGCACTTCTTACTGACAGCGACATGCTTGATGACCCGTCTGGCTACGTCGGGTGTTTGATGGTATATCAAATTTATTACAACAATTAATTGAAAGACTTAGTTTGTACAACATGCGGACACAGACGCCACTCGAAGACTTCGAAGCCGTAGATGTCAAGCAATCCAATTTTGCGGACGTCTCGCTGAGTTCGGTGGCTGATACCTTTGTCAACTGCTCAAATCCATATGCCCAACTGCACTAACTAGCCCTCTTCTTGCTGATGGCTTCAGACCTCATGACCTCAGGTCCTTACTGTTACTAATGCCTGCTGTATGACCGAATCAAAATGAACATGCCGCTCTGCTTACCCTTCTCCACACGCGTTCAGAGACCTGGGTGCTTTCATTGATCCTCCACACCAGCCAGTCGAAAAGTCGAGCATAGATTACTTTGGCCATAGAATGCCGTATGAAAGATGCTTGGGAAGCGTCATTCCTCAGCTTGAAGGAGTGGCAAACGCAGCAAAGTAACCTTAACAATGAAACATGATTGTGCCCCACATAGCCTGCAGAACTGACGGTTTGATTTCATGGTCAATGGTGCCAAAAACAGTGGGGAACAACGTCCACGGATGTGGGGCAGCACGAGAAATGCATGTCTAGACCATAATCAGTTGTTCCAAGAAGCTACTAGGGGCTCCTGGCATCGCTACTAGGAGCAAGGACGCTACTAGGGGCTCCTGGCCTTACTTTAGGAACAAGAAGCTACTAGGGGTTCCTGGTTGCCAAGTACAGGGCCTAGCAGCGGTCTGTGGATCGTCTTTTCGGTCAACGGGTCCTGGCCAAGGACGGAGGTTGCAACACTCGATTCCAAGGGATGCCTGTTTGGTAGTATTCTGCCTTGGGTCCTCGGTCGCCAGTGTTGGTACCCACACTCTGACACTTGTATTCAGTGACTCAATTACCACGATGGGAAGGATGGCGATGGAACAGCAAGGCGAAAAGGTCCGGTGACTGAATTGTTGAAAAAATGTTTCACAAGCGGCGGAAAGCTGCGGTGGGAAACCTGTTTGTGGGAGGGTGTCATGAAGAAAAACCATGAAACCAACGAACAGCAGCAGGGTGGACCATTGGAGTCAATGTGTTGAAAGCAGGTACGTGAACCTGGCGTCCCAGGTGCATATCCTCTCCAATCAACAGTAGCTTCGTTGGCCACAGACTGATGAAAGGAGCTGTGGCCCCCTGCATGTGAAAGGTGGTGGAAAAACTGTGAAAGAAGTGGCGGTGGAAAACCCTTTGTCCAGGGGTGGACACACACAGATCGCCGTCGTCGGCGCTTTTTTCAAAAAACGGTGGCACGTGTGGTGGTTGTGTCCTTTTTGGACATAGAGCCTCACTAACTCGGCAGCAGCAGCTTCAGCGCTGGAGGGTGGAAATGTGTATTTTCGAATGGTGTGGAGCCTTGATTGGAGGCCTGATAGAGCCAAGCGCTGGCTCCCGGCGGTTGTGGAATCCCTGATTTTCCAGGGTTGGGAAGGTTGCATGTAGGTGATGGTGCGTTGTGGGAGGTCGATGTTGAAACCGAGGAGATGGAAATCCTCCACCGGTTCGAGTTCCACTGGGTCGCCAAAGAAGTTGTGGTGGATGAGGGTTTGAATGGCTGGATGGTGGAGGAAATGTTCGTTGTGGACAATGAAACGGTTGTCGACATATCGATAGTACGTGAAGTGTAGGTCAGTGTGTTGAAGTAGGTTGTTGTGGATCTGATGCCAGGAATGTTCTATGAGGGTGATGGCGACATTGCAAAGGGCTGGAGAGAGCTGGGATCCAATCCCAGCTCCTCGGATTTGCTTGTAGGTGTTGTTGCAGGCCCGGAAAACCACCACAGGTTGAGAGACTCTATAGTCCTCCCAAAGCATTTTGTCACATAGACCCCCCCCCTCTGCCACATAGGCCCCCTCTGCCACATAGGCCCCTATGCCTTTGGTGATGATCGACATTTGCACTCGATCTGCATGATCGTGACTCTTTTGGCACTCTATATTTGCATAATTTTGCAAATCTTTTCCTCGAAAAGCAACACTTTAACGCAGTCCACCATTGTATCGTGGACCGGTGGATGTTAACAACCT